TCCTTCCTTCCTTCCTTCCTTCCTTCCTTCCTTCCTTCCTTCCTTCCCTTCGCATTTAGCAATAGCACTTAGAATTATAGTGCTTCACAGTGCTTTACAGCCCTCTCTAAAATGGTTTACAGAGTCAGCATATTGCCCCCAACAATCTGGGTCCCCATTTTACCAACCTAGTCATAAGTCACTTTTTTTCAGTGACATCATAACTTTGAACGGTCACTAAATTAACTGTTGCAAGACAAGAGCTATCTGTAGTCTGTTTTCACTGTCAAATGTTTCTTAACAACATTTTTGTAAGAAAGCCCCTTTCCACAGTTTTTTTTTCCCAATGGAAAGATTAGCACAGAAATGAGAAACAGTTAATATAAACAATCTGCTTTATCCATCTTCAGCTTTAGAATAACTGCATAACAGGCACCGACATCTTCATGTATGTTATATGGGCTCTTCTGATTTGCTTTGACAGAAGGTTGATATCGCTCCATTGTTTTAAGTAAGATGTAAAATATCCTTGCAAATTATTTTTAGGAATTGAGAATACTGTAGTTTTTTAATAATGTTGTGTAGGGAGTTTGACTGCTGTCTGTTTTGTTCCGGTATATTGAGATGAAAATAAAATAGCATTTTTTTCACCCCCCAGGGCAGTTTTTATTCCAAGTTGTAGAAATCCCTCCCATGTTCACATGTATTACGTATTGGAAAGGAAAGTTTTGCATTCAGACAATATTTATATTACTTGCAATTTTTGGATGCTGTATATTTGCATTTGCCTTAAATGTTATTCTATTCTTAATAGCATTTACTAGGTTGCTATTGCTATAAAATTGAATCTGCTTGCTTTATTCCCTCTCTCTTCCCAAAATTTATTGGGTAAGGAAATGATTGCAGAAGTGTTTTCCATTCTAACAGGTAATCTCTTGGGTTGAATTTTTCCACGCTCCTGGCTTTAATTCAGATGGCTAGAGTAGAATACAAATCAAAGGTAATACAAAAAGTCTGCCACATTGGCTTCTATGAAATATAAATGGCTTGTACTCAATGGGAGAAAAGCTTTCTGGAGAATGTACTTTATTAAACAAGCAGATAACAACACCAAGCGTAGTAATGATGTAACATTACTCAAGAAAAATAAGCACTCAAGAAAAATAAGTATCAAAATGGTATATGAATATCTATACAGATAAAAAAACTATTGAATGTATTTTCACACTTAATTTTATTAAGATAAATGGATAAAATTAAAATTTAAAGAAGGATGCCGTTTGGAGGATTTTTAAAAAAATAAAAAAGCAGTTTCCAAATAATTAAATAGATTGCTGGCCAGTCGAAAGAATTTTTTTGTTTCAAATGTTAAAAACTGGCATAAAGAAGTAGTCCTTGACTTACGACCCCAACTGAGTCTAAAATTTATGTTACTAAGGGAGACATTTGTTAAAGTGAGTTTTGCCTCATTTTGCAACTTTTCTTGCCACATTTGTTAAGTGAATCACCGGAGTGGTTAAATTAGGCACATGGTTGTTAAGTGAACCTCGCTTTCTCATTAGCTTAGCTCATCAGCAGGTCACAAAAGGGAATCACAAATTAAGTGAATAAAAATGGTAATTACATCTAGGATCTAATCTGCTTCCATCCTGGTCAGTGCAACCAAGTGTTTCATTGAGTAGATGTCTATGTTTCAATAAATTTTGATTTTGTCCCCATGAATAAACCCAGTGGATTGTCTGGTTCTCAAATTGTGCTCAATAGTAAACTCTCCTCTATAGACCACAGAAATCAGATATACACGATTTATTAAGCCAAGTCCAACATGGCATATTAACCAACTTTTGAAAGAAAAGAGAAGATCTTGCAGAGAAGCACTGTGGGTTCGTTTCCTTGGCTAGTTATCAGTTAAAAGTGAAGTGTGTATTATGCTTTGCAGCAGTGGTGGGATTCAAATTTTTTTTACTACCTGTTCTGTGGGCGTGGCTTGATGGCGAAGGACACTGCAAAGTCTCCATTCCCTCCCCACTTCTGGGAAAGGTTACTGCAAAATCCCCATTCCCTTCCCACCCTACTAACCTGCTTTCCAGCTCTGTTCTCCTGTGCAGGCCAACCAAAGAAGACCCAGCCAATCAGCTGGGACTCGGGAGGCAGATAAAAGATGGGGATATAGAATATAGAATAGCCAGTCAGAGGTGGGATTTGCTGGTTCTCCAAACTACTCAAAATTTCTGCTACTGGTTCTCCAGAATTAGTCAGAACCTGCTGAATATCACCTCTGGTTTGCAGTGACCCAACGTATGTTTTCAGTAAAGGAGAAAATACTTAATTTATTTACTAGCGTCAGAGCAATAGCAGTAGCATTTAGGCTTACATACTGCCCCATTGCACTTTTATAGCACTCTCTGGGTGGGTTACAATGTCAGCATTATTTGCGTAGTGCCCCAACAATCTTGATCCTCATTTTACCGACCTGAGAAGGATGGAAGCCTGAGTCAACCTTGAGTCCCATCAGGATCGAACTCCAGGCTGTGGGCAGAGTGTTGCCATGAGAAATGTACTGAATTTGTCTTGAGTGGTCCAGACTCTCTTCTCTCTTCTGAATCTGTAACACACTGCCTTGCATTCTTTTACAGACAACAGCAGAACAGTTACAAGAGGCTTACTTCCTGCCTGAATTTGTACTTTCCCCACAAGGAAGTTTTTTAGAAGACACTGCAGGAGAGAAGTTCCTTACTTACCGCTTTGATGATCAGGTCGGTATGCTGAATACGAAACAAGGGCGATCCTTTCATTCATTGTTGGGCATGTCTCTGCTTGTTGTCCATGGAGATTCTCAGTCATCCAGGTTGTGGTTGTCCCAGAGGTGGTTTTTTCAAGAGGCAACTGGATTTTCTCTTTTTTCTTTGAAGATGTTTTGCTTTTCATCAGTGGTGGGATTCAAATATTTTTACTACCGGTTCTGTGGGCGTGGCTTGGTGGGCGTGGCAGGGGAAGGATACTGCAAAATCCCATTCCCTCCCCACCCCACTAACCTGCTTTCCAGCTCCGTTCTCCTGTGCAGGGCAACCAAAGAAGACCCAGCCAATCAGCTGGGACTCGGGAGGCAGAGAAGAGATGGGGCGGGGCTGTTCAGAGGCAGTAATTGCAGGTTTTCTGAACTACTCAAAATTTCCACTACCGGTTCTCCAGAACTGGCCAGAACCTGCTGAATTCACCACCTCTGCTTCTCATCCAAGAAACTTCTTCAGCTTTGACTTCCATTCCCCACCATTCAGTTCGAGCTGAAGAAGCTTCTTGGATGAGAAGCGAAACGTCTTCTTGGAAAAACCAGAAAGTCCAGTTGCCTCTTGAAAAAAAAGCACCTTTGGGTCTCTGCTTGTTGGTGTGATGGGCTGGTGCTGTGTTGGTTGTCTCTGTGTCTAAGCCAAGGCCATTTCAGGTAGTCCTCATTTAGCAATTGTTTCATTTAGGGACAGTGATGAAAAGAACAACTCTATGTCCATGCCTCACATTGAGGACTGTAAAGCAAAGGGGAGCTGAAGTAAGATTTTAAGCAGAGTTGAAATTTCACTTAGCAACTGCTTCACTCAGTGACCGAGTTGCAGGCCCCAATTGTGGTTGCTAAATGAGGACTCTCTGTATAGAGTAACAGAAAACTACAGAAAGTAAAATGACATCCCAGTTAAATCAACTAGTTAAATCAACCAGAACAAGAGGTCATCTCAGTCTGCATAGATGGATCAAATTAAGAATCTGTGAACAGAAGGCAGCCATACTTGATCCTGGAGCATAATCCATTATGTTCTCCTTTTCATGCCCCGCTGAAATAGTGCAAAGTGAGAAAGTGTGTGCTAGAAAGCCTTGTCCGCTTGAGAATGTCACTGAATTGTGTTCTGTGTTAACTACAGGTAGTCCTCGACTTAAAACAGTTCATTTAGTGACCGTTCAAAGTTATAACGCCTGTCAGCTTTGGAAGCCATATTGAGACCAGATCTCCCACGCTGCCACATTTTGAGCCTAGGAAAGTGGGCGGGGGGGGGGAATTTCTTGGAGTGTATCTAGTCAGACATAATAACATTCTTTTTCTAATTCAAGGTCATGTTATTTAGCACATAAGTGAGCGGAAATTTCAAGTTGGGACGGATGGTGATTGGGGCAAATGATGTGATGATAGGTGCAGGGCATGGATTTGTAGTTTTTACTTATTGCAAGGAAGCCCAGAACTTTCAGATTCGGGATTCCCCAGTTGTGCCAGTTTATTATCCAAAATAAAAAGAACTTGTTAGGGATAACATTGTTTTACCCTAACTGTTTTGGGTAAAGATAATAAAATGATGAATCATGGTTTGTCAGATAAAGTGTATGTGACTTTAAGCTAAAGGAATGTAATTAAGGGTGCAGCTGTAAAAGTACTATATAAGCAGCAAGGCACTCTCTGGCTCTTACTGGCTGGCTTATTGAAGACTGCATTCTTACTGAAACGGGGAGGAGAAGAAGTGTTGGATTACTTTGAAGATATTTCTCAACGGAGAGAAGATAAGTTTTGGACAGATTTATTATATGTGTACTGACACTGGCTATTCGACACGGATTAGAGTATCCTCGACAAGACTTGACTGAATTTGGTATATGACTAATGGACTGTTTATAATGACTATGCTATAATTCTTAAATGGAATAAATTATAATTTTGATAGCACAAGCGTATCTGTATTTTTACTGCGTGTTAACGAGAAGGCTTATCTCACACATTTACCTGTCTTCCTATCTGACTTCGCTGCACATTCTGTTTAGTTTGTTTTCCTTAACACCTGTTGGGGAATCCAGGCTTAACAGAACTTTTGAGAAGATGTCTGTCTCGGAGTTACTGGTTGGAGTGGAGGTTCAGGTACTTGGCCAAAGAAAAAGGGACGTATTACCATTTATGGTGGAATTGCAAAGAAGCCCAAAAGTTTTGGCAAAAAATACAGAAATGGTTACAAGAAATATGTAGGATTAAAATAGAATATAGACCAGAGTTTTTTCTGTTAGGAATCAATGTGGAGAAATATGACAAGGATATTACAAATTTAATAATTCATATAATCACAGACACGAGATTGGTTTATGCACAACATTGGAAAGGTAAAGGAACTCCAAGTGAGTTTGAAATAATTGGGAAAATTTGGATGTGCACAGAAAGGGACAAATTGACAAAGGATTTAAAAAATAAGGATGAATTGGATTATTAGAAAGTATGGGATAAATTTTATGGTTGGTTAGAAAAAAGAAAGGATCAAGACTATAAGAAATGATTAAATGTATATATATATATATATATATATATATATATATATATATATATA